AGCGAGTGTCCGATGCGACTCGAACCCGCCTTGCTAAGGGTGGGGCGATACGTTTTTGCACAAATCTACGAAAGAAGAGAAATTCTAGTCGCACAGCACTGAGGAATAAAACAACCAATACCAACCACACGGCCTGAGTGCCGGAGGTCCGTAGGATTAGGGATTCTGACTACGCTTACTTCTATTTCCAGCTGTGACGCAGTACGCCCTTGCAAAGATGTGCACGAGAGGGATTAATGTGTTGCATTCTGCATTAAACAGTGAAACTCTGTAATATACACAGAAGGGAAGTATCAAGCAGGCACAGCGGAAGAACAACATCGAATAATCGCATGGTGGCTGGTACGCGAAGGCAGGCACCGTTAGGGGACCGAGAGGTAGGTACTGTTAGGGACCATGAGATTACGTCGTGTGAATCAATTGCCCTTGAGAAGCCGTGTCCAATGTTGTTCGTTAACTCTTCTCACGTGTCATCCGAGGGTCAGCGCAGTTGGACCTAATCACCCCAGCAAAGGGCCTCTTACAGACATCAGAGGGAAATGCGATTGTTCTGATGCACAAGCCTGCGATCGACGCAAAATGCTGATGCGGACCGGTCTCCCAGGAAGGACACACCTTTCTCGGCGGTTCCATCCACACTCAATCGAGGGCCCCAAGTTCGGCGTGTGGCTCCGTCCGGCAGCATGGTAGCCGTCGCCATCGACGGTGCCGGCCCCGCGCGCGGCCGACAGAGCGGGGCGCCATCGGCGGTAGCTCCCAGGTCACGCCGCCCTTTCAGAGGCCTCGTGTCGCCCGCTCAGAGGCGCCGTGTCGGCCCGCTCAGAGGCCCGTGTCTGCCCGCTCAGAGGCCCGTGTCGGCTCACTCAGAGGTCCCGTGTCGGCCCGCTCAGAGGCGCCGTGTCGGCCCGCTCAGAGGCGCCGTGTCGGCCCGCTCAGAGGACGTGTGGGCTCGCTCACAGGTCCCGTGTCGGCCCGCTCAGAGGCCCCGTGTCGGCCCGCTCAGAGGCGCCGGGTCGGCCCGCTCAGAGGACCGTGTGGGCTCGCTCACAGGTCCCGTGTCGGCCCGCTCAGAGGCCCGTGTCGGCTCACTCAGAGGTCCCGTGTCGGCCCGCTCAGAGGCCCCGTGTCGGCCCGCTCAGAGGCGCCGTGTCGGCCCGCTCAGAGGCCCCGTGTCGGCCCCGCTTAGAGGCCCCGTGTCGGCCCGCTCACGGGCGCCGTGTCAGCCCGCCCAGAGGCCCCGTGTCGGCCCGCCTCAGAGGCGCCGTGTCGGCCCGCCCAGAGGCCCTGTGTCGGCCCGCCCGGAGGCGCCGTGTCGGCTCGCTCACAGGTTCCCGTGTCGGGCCCGCTCAGAGGGCCCCCGTGTCGGGCCCGCTCAGAGGGCCCGTTCCGGCCCCTCACAGGTCCCTGTCGGCCCGCTCAGAGGCGCCGTGTCAGCCCGCTCACAGGAGCCGTGTCAGCCCCGCCCAGAGGCCCCGTGTCGGCCCGCTCAGAGGCGCCGTGTCGGCCCGTGTCCAGAGGCCCTGCGTCGGCCCGCCCGGAGGCGCCGTGTCGGCTCGCTCACAGGTCCCGTGTCGGCCCGCTCAGAGGCCCCGTGTCGGCCCGCTCAGAGGCCCCGTGTCGGCCCGCCACAGTCCCGTGTCGGCCCGCTCAGAGGCGCCGTGTCAGCCCGCTCACAGGCGCCGTGTCAGCCCGCCCAAAGGCGCCGTGGTCGCCCGCTCAGAGGCGCGTGTCGGCCCACTCAGAGGGTCCCGTGTCGGCCCGCTCAGAGGCGCGCGGTCGGCCCGCTCAGGAGGCCCCGTTTCGGCCCCTCACAGGCGCCGTGTCAGCCCGCCCAGAGGCCCCGTGTCGGCCCGCTCAGAGGCGCCGTGTCGGCCCGCCCAGAGGCCCTGTGTCGGCCCGCTCAGAGGCCCCGTGTCGGCCCGCTCAGAGGCGCCGTGTCGGCCCGCTCAGAGGCCCCGTGTCGGCCCGCTCAGAGGCGCCGTGTCGGCCCGCTCAGAGGCCCCGTGTCGGCCCGCTCAGAGGCCCCGTGTCGGCCCGCACGGCTGGGGCCGGAGCCGAGGCCGCCAGTGAGCGAAGCAGTGTGGCCCGGCTCTGGACGTCAGCCGCCGGCGTTGCTCCTTCCTGGCGGGGTGTCGGAACAGCCGACGCTGACCCGATCGTACCTCTGTGACCGTCCGGGCCAGACCCACTGACAGCACATCTCCACACTCGGACTCTGCCAGACGGGGTCCTTCCGTCGGCGGGCGCAGCGCCACTGGCCCGCAGCAATGTTCATGGTATAGGTTCATGGCCCCGCTCCACATAATTCGCCTGGCTTTGGGTGGACTCAACCCATGGCAGTGCATGAAAATGGAATGAACACCTTCAGTGGAACCGGAAACGAAGTACCTCAGCAGTACGTCGTTTACGCCACATCGAGCCCCTACACTACTGTGCGTGCAGGCACCACCCTCCCACCTCACACTGCCGAATGGGTACGCCCCGGCCAAGCAGAGGGTGGCTTGCATCGGCTGGTGAGCCGTGCCACACGGAACCTGGCTCGGCCGTCCAACCGAACAGATGGCAAAGCCGGCTCCGCCGGCGACGGTCGAGCCCAGCGTGGCGGCCACCCGCCTACATTAGCTGATTTGCCGGGTCTGTCGCACACGGGCCGGTTTCTCCGCGGCGCGGCTCGTCTCGACCGGGACCGCACTCTCGACCGCGACCGCACTCTCGACCGGGACCGCACTCTCGAGCGGGACCGCACTCTCGACCGGGACCGCACCGCGCTCGGCCCGGTCGCATACCACAGCTGGCCAAAATCATCCGCAACCCCCACCGCCGTAAGGTGTACCGGCACTCTGTTTTCATTTCTGTCGTTCCGTTGTTCATTCCACGTTCATTTCGCGCCTACCCCGCCACTGCCGACACAAAAGACGAGCACCCCCCAAGTGTCCACAGTAACTTCCCAACCGTTCCCGGCAAGCCCAGCCTTCCAGCACGCGTCAGAAGGATAGTTCGATGCATGCTGGCAAACAAACAATTCGATGCCAGGCCCCGCCATAGAGAGGTAGTGTCCTCCGTGAAGCGCCGCTCAGCCACTGCCTCTACAGCCGGTGATTCCAGATCTCCGTTCTCGGTGTTGACTTTTTTGACGTCTAGGCATCTAGTTAGGCTTCGTGCCAGCCTGCGCTAATGGCAGCGTATGGCGTCACATCAAGTCATTGATAGAGATCATGTGGCAGCGGGACATCCTTCAATGTACCCACTGTTTTTGCCGCACCATCTACCGCTCACCAGATTATCATATATATATATATATATATATATATATATATATATATATATATATATATATATATATATATGATGGCCGGACCTGACTCAAACTTTATCTTGATTTCGCCCGAGCCAACCCCAGCCTTGAATTGCCAGCCACCCTCTTCAACATTGAATATCGTTTACGCGGCGGAAGACGAACATGCATTTAACGTCTGTTCCAAAATCATGCACCATACTCAGTGTCGCAAGTTACCACGGGAGCTGGAGGCCCCAGATGTGCTCATCAACGTTATGAGGAGTTACGTGCAATCTTCCGTGACCTTTGACGCCATCATCCAGGTGCTGACGGTACAAATTATATTTTCCGGGTGAGAACAAAGGCGTACCGATTGACGTTTGAACTTCTGCATCGCGCCCCGATCGGGGATGACTGGCGGATGCCAGCAGCCCAGGCGGTCATGGGTGGTGAAATACCGCCTGCGGTGCCGAGCTTGTTTTGACAGGATAAACCCGGGCCACACCCAGTTAAAACTCGGCAAGACTTCAGGCCGCCTTCCTTGCACGGCCATGTCTGCGGCTTCAGACGCTAACCCCGCCACTATCGGGCCGCGGCGTCCCGTCGCGCGTTTTTACGCCCTGGGCATTACCGTCCGGATACCGTGGCGCGCCACGCGGTGTCGCGCGCGCAGCAAAAACCGGCGCCGATCAGCCCGCGGCGACGGGATCGATTAGAAATGGCGCGAACGCCGGCGCAGCGCGCGCCCGCGCCGACAGTAACGGCCCGCCTGGGTCCGCCGCGGCCGCCGCCGGGGAGCCCCACGAGCGGCGTACACAGGTCGGGCGGCTGCTGTGACGTCATGGATGAGACGTGCGGGGAAGGTCAGCAGGCGGAGCCGATGGCGCGGCCGCGGCTCGGCGGCAAACGACCTTCCCGCACCAGTTCGTGACTGATATAGTCTGCCGCACCAGTTCGTGACTGATGCAGTCCGAGGCAAACGTGACAAGTGCCGGAGAAGCACGACCCCATGTGTCCACTTATCAGTTATCCGAAGCAGCAGTACCATCGCTTTATAAAGCTCTTACTCTGCGTGCAACCGCTTCCACGTTTCGCCGCTTCATGCCTCCGTACTCTGTTTTCGCTTTTACAGTCTCCTTACGAAACATGTGATGAACATATACAAGAAAAAAATACAACAGCATCTAGGACTACACCCCGCAGCGACCTGCTGAGCCGCCGTCGGCACGAGTCCCGGCGCTCCACCGCGCCCGTCGCCCTGAGCACGGCTGTCAGCGGCGCGGATCCCGTACTTGGTCCGCCCCGGAGAGCCGTGTCTGGGACGGCGCCGGCCCCTCGGCCGCCTCCTGACCACACTGTACTGAACGGCAGTGGCGCTGGACCACGCCCTGCTGTCAGCAAAGCCACACCGCTCACCCAGTGTCGAGACACTGCGCGACGCGTCGGGCGCGCCGGCGATGAGCTCGGGCGGGCGGCTGGGCCCGTGGCTCGCTGCAGCTTCCGTGTCTGGCCGCCGACGCTGGTTATAACGAGCCGAGGATGGCACGGGACAGGAAGGGGGATCACGTTACTCTGAGTTCGCAGATTTGCCGCTAGTCGTTAAGCCGAGGCTTGCGGGCTCGCCGACGGGGCAGGAGTTGTCTTATTCGAGCCTGCGGATCTGCCGCTGGGGAACGTAACAAGAGCTGGCCGACTAAGCGACAGGGCAGGGCTGTGGCCTTACTTGAGCTTGCGGATCTGCCGCTGGTGGCTGAAGTGCAGCCGCGCCAGCTGGCGCTCGTTCAGCAGCTGCTGGTGGGCGCGCTCTGCGCGCAGCCGCTGCTCCTGAAGCACCAGCTGTTCGCTGACCCGCCGCTGCACCTCCTGTTCAATGAACGCCCCCATCCTGTCGGCACAAAGAGACACTGTTAACGGCTGCCAGTGCGCACGCGACTGGTGTCAGTGACGCAGTAAAACCCGGCTACGTTTACATCCGTCGAAAAACACCTAACGTAACAGGTCTGAAAACCCAACCATGCGCTCTGGTGTTAAAACGCAGTGCAAAGCGTACCACACAGAGGTACTATGAGCATATGACAACCTCAGGTAGCTCATCGACCACGTATTATAACACGGTGCCAAATAAGGGCGAACTGTGACACCACACGAGCACCGCTTTGAACTGTCCCATCAAATGAGGTCGGGGACGCCCCTTTATCCGCAACCGGGCTTCCCCACACAAACCGCAATCAAGCCAAACAGCTCATTACGCTGCACGCCAAACGGCCAACACCAACACCCCTTCCCGCGGAGGAAATCCCCGAGCCCCGCCCTTCCCAACACTGCGGCAGCTCGGCAGCGGCACTCACAGCTCGTCGTCCTCGCACAGCTCCATGGGACTCTCCAGGCTGTCGCCCTCGCTGTCGGCCGTGTCGGCGCCGGCCGGGCGCGGCGCCTCGCGCAGCGACAGGGCGCCCGACGTGTCGTGTGCCGCCGAGGGCGATGTCAGCGGCGTCAGCGACGGCGAGCTCGGCGGCGGCGAGCCGGACGTGCCGCTCGCCGCCGCCGCCGGCCCAGGCTCGGGCGCCGGCGAGCACCGCCCGGCCGGCTCAGCCGGTCCTGCGGCCACGGTCAGCACGATCGTCGGCTCGTCGGCGGAGGCGGAGGCGAAGGTGGAGACGGCGGCGGGACTGAGGCCGTTCTCTGGTGGCGCGGCTGTGGCAGCGGCAGCGGCAGCAGCAGCGGCGGCGGGGGCGAGAGGCGGGCCGTCGCCAGGTACAGAGAGCCGTGCTCGCGTAAGACTCGGTTCGCTCGGCTGCCGGAATCGGCACAGCTCGCGCGAGCTGCCCCACGAGAGCCTGCGGATCAACAGGAAATAATTTCGTGACCGCCTTGTTGTGTCACGCACTGTCCTCATCCCGGACGACGTACAGTGCCGATGTCGCGTATGACGTGGTTCAGTTGGCGCATGCACGCACGTACACACGCACAGTTCCACCCCCACCCCCCGCCCAGCAAAGTTCGCGCACAGGCCGCAGACCCGCCTCGCCGATTGGCAGACAGGCAAAGGCAGACCCTATCTAGTGCCGACGGTGCGCAAATGGGCGCTGTCCTTCACTCTGCGTCGGCGACGACACCATCCTGTCGCAACCATCCAGCGAGTCACCGGGAGACGACTCCAGAGCGGGGGGGGGGGGGGGGGGGGGCGATAGGAGCGGGCGCGGAGCACGCGCGGCATCTGCGATAATAATGATTTGTGTCGGAGCGCATCGGCCGCTAGGGTGACTGGGTATTTGTACATGCCGAAGTAACCCGGAATGTCCCATCATTGTGGTGGACACATATCCAGCCCGGCGGCGGACAGACGCTGCAGTGCCTGGTATAGGTACATGACAGACGCAATCCGGGTAGTCGGACATGGGAGCCGCCAATCATGCCGCACCCCAGGAAATGCTACACCTCGGTAGCCAGAATCGCTACGACTCGGCAGTCGGTATTGCGCAGTTCCTCCTGGAGCGGCTAATGTCAGCGTGTCAGCGTACCGTGATGGCACGTGCGGGCGCTGTACACGCGGCCTGTGCCACGACGCATCACAGTTACCTCCGCGGCCCACACCGCGACGACGCCCAATTGCACGGCGACCGTCTTAGTTGGCCTTAGGCTGTGTACCTGATCACACCTACTCTGCAGCGCTGGTTTATGGCGCACTTAGCAGCAGAGGTCATCGTGACGTCGCCTGTCCCTCCCCACTCTGTGACGGTGTAAGGGTCCACATCACTGGGAGCTCGCACGGCGTCGCCGACAGGAGAGGACGCCTTCGTGGCCGGACCCGCGCAGTAGCGAGACAGACAAGGCCGGCAATCCGCATGCGCACGACGTGCTTCCTGGATATCAGCTGAACAAGCTGCGTGTTTCCAGGTCCCTGTGCTCCGCCAAAACAGAACAGAACTGAATGAGCCAACGAAAAATGTGTACAGCTGAAGATTGAGCCGTAAGGTACAGCAAAAGACGCTTAGCACAGCGAAACCTAAACCCAGGCTGACGAAGTTAGCGTTATGAGCTTGACGGCGTGCGCGCGTGACACTGAGCGACACTTCAGCTGGATCGGCGCTTAAGTGCTGACGAACGCCCGTACGTTGTAATGATGAATTTTGATAGTCCTGTTCCAACTCAGCGATCTGTCGGGCGACTTGGAAACCTGGTGAGTGCCTGGCCATGCGCAGAATCAGCAAACGACCAGGACGAGTGAGGAGAGTAGGTGGGAGTTGGGGCTGCGTTCGGCGCGGATCCAAGTCAGCATGATTGAGCCACCCACTCATAAGTTGCAATAAGTTCACGAATGCAACTCGGCTGGGTTTTCATGCTCCATCCCCGAGAAATAGCCAATCTATGGCCAAATCGATATCTCCCTGCCCAGTCAAATCTGTGGGAAGAATTCTATTATCCGCTGAGGGCGTGTGAAATTGACATATTCTTATCGGGCGTCGCGAGGCCAAAGCGCAGCGCCCAGGTCGCTGGAAGGCTCATTCGCGTCTGGCGGCAGGCCTGCTGTGGCTGACGTGCGGAAGTCGGCGGGGAGCCATACAAATGCATGATGGATGGTGTTTTTAGTACATCCTTGCTAAATTCGCAGGTGCTTTCTAAAAAAATCAACGGAGATCGCGAGCCAGGTCATAAATTATACAGCATAGTTCACATAAGACCGAGCCAGCGTACGACAGCGCCTATCCCTGCCACCCGGTCCCCGTCCTGTCACCGCGTCCCCGTCCTCTCCGTACGCCTATCACCGCTCCCCGGTCCCCTCCGTACGCCTGTCACCGCTCCCCGGTCCCCTCCGTACGTCTGTCACCGCTCCCCGCTCCTCTCCGTACGCCTATCACCGCTCCCCGGTCCCCTCCGTACGCCTGTCACCGCTCCCCGGTCCCCTCCGTACGCCTGTCACCGCTCCCCGCTCCTCTCCGTACGCCTATCACCGCTCCCCCGGTCCCCCCGTACGCCTGTCACCGCTCCCCGGTCCCCTCCGTACGCCTATCACCGCTCTCCGGTCCCCTCCGTACGTCTGTCACCGCTCCCCGGTCCCCTCCGTACGCCTATCACCGCTCCCGTCCCCGTCCCCCCCCCCCCGTACGCCCATCACCGCTCCCCGGTCCCCTCCGTACGCCCATCCCTGCTCCCCGGTCCCTTCCGTACGCCTATCCCTGCTCCCCGGTCCCACTCCCGTACGCCTATCACCGTTCCCCGGTCCCCTCCGTACGCCCATCCCTGCTCCCAGGTCCCTTCCGTACGCCTATCCCTGCTCCCCGGTCCCCTCCGTACGCCTATCACCGCTCCCCGGTCCCCTCCGTACGCCACGTGAGGGACGACCTTCTGGCTTTTAACACCTCGTGCCAACATATTTGAAATGGTCAACATCAGACAAGTGGCAGCCTCCGATTATTCGCAAGAACTTGAAGCTACCATCCACTGCGACAGCCTTACCGTACACCAATTTCCCTTGCTACAGCAGAGCACATACACACTGTTGGCATGTTTAAGACGCAGCATCATTCCACGCAAAATCCGCTCGGCGGCCTTACTCACACAAAGCTGGACTTCACGCCGCCTTATGCAGAAGAGGATGAGGCGACCACTGCGGCTATGTCGTTCACAAGCAACGCACGCCTGCATAAGCCAACCGAATGGCACCATTCAGTACGGCCGCAAACCGCGTTACACTCAGAATTCCACCCTGTGGGACACCGCTGGTTTACAACGATCTTCTGCAATGCGTGTCTCCTACTAGAACTTTAAAGGGACGGTCAAGAAGGCAGATCGCTAAGAACCATCCCTTGTCACAGCGCACGCCACACATGTAATGTTTCGACCTGTCATTACGCAGGTGGTGCCGAAGGTGCCCGGAGTGCCGAAGAAAGGGAGCTGCACCCACTCCACCACAACGCATGACGATCTCACCCGTGGCGGGTGGCCGTGTTATCCGCCGGCCGTCAGCGTCAGCGTCAGCGTCAGCGTCAGCGTCAGCGTCAGCGCCAGCGCCAGCGCCAGCGCCAGCGTCAGCGACAGCGACAGCGTCAGCGACAGCGACAGCGTCAGCGACAGCGACAGCGACAGCGTCAGCGACGGCGACGGCGACGGCGACGGCGACGGCGACGGCGTCGGCGTCGGCGTCGGCGTCAGCGTCAGCGCCAGCGCCAGCGCCAGCGTCAGCGCCAGCACCAGCACCAGCACCAGCGTCAGCGTCAGCGTCAGCGTCAGCGTCAGCGTCAGCGTCAGCGTCAGCGTCAGCGTCAGCGTCAGCGTCAGCGTCAGCGTCAGCGTCAGCGTCAGCGTCAGCGTCAGCGTCAGCGTCAGCGTCAGCGTCAGCGCCAGCCGCTGACCCTGCCGCTGACGACCGGCGGCGCTCAATCAGTATCGACCCGGGCGGCAAAGGTCGGCGGCCCGACCGAGCGAGCGCGGGACGACCGACGGGCCGACCGCGGAATAACAGCCTCACCCTCTCCGCTGCGGGGTCGATGTGGCGTCCCGCCGGCTGGCGCGCTACCGTGGCCGACCACTCGGCCGGCTCCCGGCGGAGAGCGTGTCAGCGTTCGCACTGCGGCAGGGGGCTCCCGCGGGGCATGCCGAGCCTCACCGGTCAGCGTCGGGAGCACGGGGCTCCCATCGGTCCACGTCAGGAGTACGGGGCTCCCGCCGGTCCACGTCAGGAGCACGGAGCTCCCACCGGCCATGTCAGGAGCAAGGGGCTCCCACCGGTCCATGTCAGGAGCACGGGGCTCCCACCGGTCCACGTCAGGAGCACGGAGCTCCCACCGGCCATGTCAGGAGCACGGGGCTCCCACTGGTCCATGTCAGGAGCACGGGGCTCCCACCGGCCATGTCAGGAGCACGGGGCTCCCACCGGTCCATGTCAGGAGCACGGGTCTCCCACCGGTCCACGTCAGGAGCACGGAGCTCCCACCGGCCATGTCAGGAGCACGGGGCTCCCACCGGTCCACGTCAGGAGCACGGGGCTCCCACCGGCCATGACAGGAGCACGGGGCTCCCACCGGTCCACGTCAGGAGCACAGGGCTCCCACCGGGGGCATGCCGAGCCTCACCGGTCCACGTCAGGAGCACAGGGCCCCCACCGGGGGCATGCCGAGCCTCACCGGTCCACGTCAGGAGCACAGGGCCCCCACAGCGGGCATGCCGAGCCTCGCCGGTCCACGTCAGGAGTGAAGGTCACTGCATCATATTGTGACTGAACGCGACGACCAGACGGCGCTCAAGCCGGGCTTGACCACATGGCGAGAGGACGGTAGTTGAATCACGTACTTCACGGCTAATTGGATAGAAAAGGTTATCGGGGTCCACGGGCTGGAGCACGTCAGATTAAGCCGCCGGCCAGGCCCTAACTCTCTGCCAGCGCAACTAACGAACTGCACCTTCCGGCACAGGTCTCGTGCCTCGGGGCCAGGACGCCGTGGCATTCAAGTATTCAAGGTCGTACATCTCAGAATGTAGCACATCCAATATCAAGACCTTTGGTAGTCATTTAAGCCAAAGCTTTATCCAGACCTTTAAATTCCAATCTTGCGCAATGAATTTTCACTTGCCCTTCCGTGACAACACACCACAGGTTGTCACGCTAGCCGCGGCTACGATGTCACGCACCGGTAAACATGCACCGGTACGTAATGGATCGGCAATTACAATAACAAGGCTTGACAGAAATGCTACCACAGCGCAGATGCCACGAGTGGTTACCACGAGGGGTTAACTACTCATGGTGCCGATGCGTGCCGGCACAGTCACCAGCGCTGCAGCTGGCCCAATTAGCTACACATGCAGATCAGCCTTATTTGGCTGTTTCACACCAGATATACGCTCACGTTATCAGCACACGTTCCGAAATGTGTAAAAACTGCTTGTGATGAGCACTCACCATACTAATGCGGACATTTTCTAATAGATACACACGGTAAAGTTACCACTCATCACGCATCCACGAACTAAATGTCATTACTTATACGGTACGTGCACTAAAGATGTAACACATTACGGTGCCGTCGGCTTTCGGTCCCATCGTGACCAATCAACTAACGGTCCAAATATTATTAAATGGATTCCAAATACAGGTCAGGTTCCAGATAAGCATAGCAAATACCAACGCCACATTTCATCACCGGACACAGGTTAAATCCTGCCATTTCAACTACACGAGTCCGGTCCACGCCGAATTGACCAGAACTTCCAGCGCCAAACACCTCGGCGCTGTTGACCCTGATCGTCAGCAAGACCCCATGCGCCCAGCAGAGATCACTGAGCCCACTTACAGCGATCTGGGGTGCCGTCGGTCCCGTGTGGCGGCACGCGGTGCAGCCCACGCACCCGACGCTGCAGTGCCAACAACCGCTGATGGGATTTGCATGTCCGGGCTGTTAACGGCCGGTGGCGAGCGCTCCACTCGGAGACGGCGCTCGTACCGAAGCCGACTCGCCCCTCGGGACCGGACGGCGAGAAGCGGCACGGCTGCGACGGCAGCGCCACAGCCTCCACGGAGAACCCCCGTGCCCCACCACCGTGGGAGTAGCACTTCCGACACAGAGAGAAACCTGACAAGCGTTCAACATGGAGCGACACAAAAAGCGGCGAACGCTCACCGCGGCGGTCGGGCGCCGTGTCACGCTCGACCGAGTCCCCTGGCGACTCCCTGGCGCGACACAGGCGTCCCGAGCCCAGCAACGTGCCGATCCCGGCGCCGAGGCCGGCCCGCACCTGGAGGCGCTGCGCCGCGGCGCGCTGAGCGACGGCCGCAGACGCGGCGTGTCGATGGCGCCCGACAACGCCCATCCCCGGCCGCAACTCGGCAAAGGTCAGGGTGCCTAGCCCGGCACAAGATACAGGCGCCAAAGGTCACACCCCGCCGCAGTGGCCAGGCAATGGCTCGACCAAAACTCCGGTCTCGGTGATCGTGGGATGGGGCGGCAGCAGCAGCGCTGTGACTTATAGAGAGGTTGGGATATAAATGACCGGTCACCACGCCCTCAACGGGGGAAAAATGACCGCGACGGTATAGATCGAGGAGAGGGGTTGAATGCAGTAGCCAGATACCCAGACAAAATTCAGCAAGCTGTCGTACTTACGTACTGTACGTACTAAGTCAGGAAGTCCAGCAGTTCGACGTAATATTACCAAAAATTAACACAAATTTGGTCGATTTATTACGCATGCGGCGGGCGTGCCATGCACATCGCATCTTAAATCACTGATCAAAGCGCTGGCGAACGCTGCTGGGATTAACTTCTAAATTCCACCAGCGATTGCCAGGTAGGAGCGCGCCCCCTTCGATGAATTATCGGTTCCATAACCGTCACGCGTCGGCCAACGGGCCCAGTCTGCCAACAACCTATGAGCGTCTCGGTCTACCCCGGCAGCCGCCGTCTACCTCGGTCTCAGCAGCTGCGGTCTCCCCAGAAGCCGATGTCTCCTCCAGCAGCCGCGGTCTCTCCCAATAGTTTCGGTCTCCCCAGCAGCCGAGATCTCCCAGCAGCCGCGGTCTCTCCCAACAGCTCCGGGCTCCTCAGCAGCCGAGGCCACCCGATGGCCGAGGACCACCCATCAGCCGAGGCCTCCCCTGCAGCCGCGGTCTCCCCCAACAGTTTCGGGCTCCCCAGCGGCCGAGGCCCCGGCAGCCGCGGTCTTCCCAACAGCTCCGGGCTCCCCAGCGGCCGAGGCCCCGGCAGCCGCGGTCTTATCCAACAGCTCCGGGCTCCCCAGCGGCCGAGGCCCCGGTGACCGTGGTCTTCCCCAGCCCCCCGCGCCCCGGGCGACGCCCACTGACCGTTTCTCGGCGGCCAGCAGGCTCTCGACGCTGCGGGCGGCGGCTAGCTCGCAGGAGGAGCGCGAGAGCACGGACAGCCGCGAGGAGGCGCGCCGCACGCCGGCCCGTCGCAGCCGCGCCGCCTCCGCCGGACTGTTGTACCGGAACATGCAGCTCTCGCCCAGCGTGATGACGCAGCCTGGCGGCGGGGGAGGCGACGGTGTCACGCCCGCGACCGTCGCAATCACGGGCAGGAGACATCGTCACGTCGGGAGAGGCAAGTCGCGAAGAGGGGGAGGGTGCTACCGTGAGGGGCGGAATTCCCGCGGGAGTGGGGAAAATGACATTACAATGGATGAGGGGGAAATGGCTCTGGTGGAATGATGGAGCAAATCATGAGGCAAAACATGGCGACAAGGGGCACTGCGCTCCCACGAGGTATGGCCTGTGATGAGATGAGGGAAAACTGTCAGCGGGCAGCTCATCCTGCGGACGATAACTAGCGCGAAGTGGACGCATAGGGCGATAGGCAGCAGAGTAGAGCAGATCACGGGTATTGAGTGAAGCGCACCTCAAAACCAGCCTTCCCTCCCTGATAGGTCATAAGTCATCACAGAAACTCCACGCGAAGCTCCGACACTCACTAATCAAGCCGAAAAGTGACCTTAGGAAAATAATGAGGCGTCGCGACACACGTCACAGTGGACACGCTGGGCGCGGCGCGTCGTTTTCCATGCCCAGCACGGTGTTCTGCTCCAGAATACGCGGTCGGCCAGGCGGGCGACTACACGGCGTGGAGACGGCAGGCAGCATCACGTGCGCCGGGCGGACATACCGGCTTGACGGAAAGGGGAACCTGGGCGTGCGTGCAAGCCGAACAAAAAAGAACAAAGTTCTGGAGACAGTGTAACCTTTTTTGTTCGGAAGCCACCACTGGCGTTATCAACATGCCCCAGGTTTGTGCATAGGCCCCAAACTGCACCAATAAATGACACCAAAAATGACAGCATAAAAAAGGCAGGCTCCGTGACGTTTTTACCATATTTAGCTGCAGTATATGCTGCATTGATTAAGCTCTTTGAGACAAATATTCAGCCTGAGTCGCACGCAAATGTATCACGGTATGAAGTTTTGGCATTCGTGACGAGCGTTTTCTTGTGCTATGACTTTCCGTCACTGTTTTATCTAATTGTGAGCGCATCTTCCATTTCCCTGCAAACATGTCAAGTTAAAAAAAGCCCCCAACGGCAGCCTAGAGGGGCTTCGTGAGCATTAGGCAAACCATCCGCGGGCAGCGACAGGTCTTGGTCCGAAAGGACACATTTCGCCGATTTCATCATGAAATCTTCCATATACAGTGTACATAAAAACAGAACAATCACAATGTACCAGTGTTGAACACATGACCATCCAGCTACATGTCATTAAAACCATATCGTGCAAAACCGTTGTCACACACATCAGACTTGATGAAAGCAAACGTCATTTGACAGCAACATGGTGGCGTAACCAACTACGGTGTCACTCCTCTCACATTTTGCATGCTAAGATAAATCAGGCGCGGCCTGCGGCCTGGCAATAGCATCACACAGCCGGTGCAGCATGGCAGCACGACATACCATGCATGATCAAACGGCCCCCACGGCGCGAAACAAACGCAACAACTACTTTGCCACCCTGCAACAGGTTTCACCGATAGCAAACGACACCGACAGCGAATGGCGGCGAATGGCAATGGTCACCACACCATCGCACCAGGCACCGCGCCTCGACTTCAGCCTTATCGTGGATTCACGACGCACGTGGCAAGCACCGATCCAGCGGGGCCCCGTTCTACCCTCCCTTCATCGTCCGCTGATGTCCCTCCTCCATCCAGGTCACGAACTTACACCGGGCGCCGCCGCACGTCAGCCGTGCGGGGAGCGCGGCGCCGTAACAGGTGAGGCAGCACTCGCCGCCGGACGATATCAGCGCGGTCATTACCGGCCCATTCGTCATCGGTCGTGGCAGGAGCCGACCCCATTACCGGTCGGCGACGGCCCTTGAGCGTCGCAGCTGGCGGCCCGGTTGTGAATGGGTGACACGGGGCAGCGCGCCGCCTCAGCGCGGTCCGCCCTGCATAACGGACAATGGTCCGCCGCCCTGGACACCGGACAGCAGTCCAGCGGACAGCGGTTACCGGACACTGGACAGCGGTCCACCGACGAGGACCACCTGGAAGCCGAGCTCGGCCGGAGGGACGCTGAATACGACCGGCGAACGTGCAGAGCGTGATCGATACGGACCCGCGATGCCGCCACCGACAGACCCGCATAAGCGGTAGTGCGGAGTCACGCCCCAGCACGGTGACACTAGCCGTTGTGTTGTTGTGACGATCGACGTTCTGTTACCGTGAAGCTGGGTGCTGCGTTGCTGAGCGCCGGGTATTGTGTTGCTGTGCGCTGGGTCTTGTGTTGCTGAGCGCTGAAACATGGGCGTTGTGTTGATAAACGCTGGGTGTGTTTTGCTGAGCGTTGGGCGTTGTGTTGCTGGGCGCTCTGTTACTAAACGCTCGTTGTTGTATTGCTAAAGGCTGGGCGTATGTTGCTGAACATTGGGTGTTGTGTTACTGAGCGCTGGGCGCGAGTTGTTGAGCGCTGAGCGTCGTGTTGCTAAATGCTAGTTATTTGCTGCTTGGCGCTGGGCGTTTGTTGCTGAGCGCTGGGTGTTATGTTGCTGGACGTTGTGCGTTGCGTTGCTGAGCGCTGGATGTTGTGTTGCTGGGCACTGGGTGCTGCGTGGCCCGGCGGTGCTTCGCCGCCGTCCGCCGGTGACGGATGCGTCTGGCTGTCACCAGCCGGGATAAGTAGTGTCCGCGACCCCAATGAAGCGGACGTGATGACTAGGCGCCGAACACAACCGTGACGACCCGACGCCGAACACAGCCGTCACGACCCGGCGCCCGACACAGCCGTCACGACCCGGCGCCCGACACAGCCATGCGGCACGTGGGTGGCGCAAGTGGTGCGGCGGCCGTCGTGCTAAGCCAACAGGCGCTGCGAACGTGAGCGGCTCACGCGGCCGCGGCTGCCGGGCTGGACGTCTTCGGAGGCTGCCCTCAGATACCGCGGCCGATCTTGCCGTGGGCACAGCAAGGTTGGCATGTCCGGCGGCTGAAACTGGTTTCTGCCTCTTTTAGACCACTATCGCTTTCACTGGGAAAGCAGTATAAGCTGGGCAAGCTCCAAAAACCGTAATATTTCTTTGCTTAATAACTGTTATCATGCAATCATGTGTGTTATTCGGCCAAAAGACACATAACGCTCTGACGCAAGAGTACGATCAAACTAGAGCACATTTACGACAGTTGGTACAGCGCTTAGCACCCGAGCCTATGTTCCACAGCCAGAAAGCATGGCTTGTGAAAGCACAACTGCTCCTTCTTAAGCCACTTGCAACGTGCCACTACTCAGACGTCGGAAAGTGCTGCATTGTTGCCTTTGTGATATGTGCTCCTGCACGCTGACAATGGCATGTGCCTCATGACAATGCCAGACCATTCCAAGACTCGTTGGGCCACTGCTCGTTTGGTGGCTCGCCAGTCTGCTCTGCTGATATTAAGACTAACCCAGTTTATAGCAGTTTAATGCTTGGTTTGCCACCGTACATTTGTACCGGCTCCGTCTCTGTGACGCAACCGCCATTCCGCATGACACCGCGGCTGGTTCGCCAGCGGAGGACACCCCGGGCTAGCCGGACTGGGTCGCCGGCGGAGGACACCGCAGGTCAGCCGGGCTGGGCCGCCGGCGGACACCCCGGCCAGCCGGGCTGGGTCGCCGGCGGAGGACACCCCGGGCCAGCCGGGCTGGCTCGCCGGCGGAGGACACCCCGGGCCAGCCGGGCTGGGCCGCCGGCGGAGGACACCCCGGGCCAGCCGGGCCAGATCAGCGGCTGGTATGCGCGTCCAGCAGCGGCCGCGGCCCCAGTCAAAGACGGCCGACTGACAGAGCGGCTCGCGCAGCCATTGCCAGATGCTCACTGAGCCGCTGCCACTGTCAGATGCTCACTGAGCCGCTGCAGTTGCCAGATGCTCACTGAGCCGCTGCCACTGTCAGATGCTCACTGAGCCGCTGCCATTGCCAGATGCTCACTGAGTCGCCGGCATTGTCAGATGCTCACTGAGCCGCTGACATTGTCAGATGCTCACTGAGCCGCAGGCATTGTCAGATGCTCACTGAGCCGCTGCCATTGCCAGATGCTTACTGAGCCGCTGGCATTGTCAGATGCTCGCTGAGCCGCTGCCATTGCCAGATGCTCACTGAGCCGCTTGAGCCCATTCGTCGTCTTACCAACACTACGCTGGCTGTGACAACCGCATCTTTTTCAATTCTCAAAAGCCATGGTTGTGTGAGCGTGCGGGAAGACGACATGCTGGCTTTCGGGGCAGGCAGGTGTCCGTGCCCTAATCTGATTATAGATCGGCAAGGCTTATCTTGATAGCGATGGTAGGCCCAGCGGTCAGTATCTCTGACCTGTGGGGGAAGGCAAACGGTGGCCAATGCCGTGTCCGGCACTATAGCGATGGTAGGTCCAGCGGTCAGTATCTCTGACCTGTGGGGGAAGGCAAACGGTGGCCAATGCCGTGTCCGGCACTATAGCGATGGTAGGTCCAGCGGTCAGTATCTCTGACCTGTGGGGGAGGGCAAACAGTGGCCAATGCCGTGAGGGAGGAGGGAGGGGTGAGGGGTAGACAGCCGTCTGTACCCTGCGTGAGCCGGTGGACAGAGGTCAGCATTGCTCCTGCGGAGGAGAGTTCCACGACATTAGTGCAACAATACGAACTTCAGAGGGGAGTGCTACATTATGTCTACCGCCAATACTTCGAGGCGGGGGAGTCAGCCATGTCTACCCTGCATGAGCGGGTGGACAGAGGTCAGTTTTCCTCCCACAGAGGCGAGGGGGAGGGCCAGTCCGTGCCGTGCTTACCCTGCGTGAGCCGGTGGCACCGCTCCACGTCCGTCTGGTCGACGCTGCACACGGCGTCGCCCACCACGTGCAGCTCGCCGCCCGCTTCGGTGAGCGTGATGACGCAATGGCGGGCCGCGATGCCGCCGCCCTCCAGCACGATGTCGCTGTCCGGCGCTGCGCCCAGGGTCGTGCGCTCAGACTGCAACGGCCACAGAAGCACGCGGCCGGTCACGGACGGCCATCGTCAGGTGCAGACGGCCTGTCGAGGCATCGGAGGCGGACACGGCCAGGATAGACACGGCCTGTCGAGGCATCGGAGGCGGACACGGCCAGGATAGACACGGCCTGTCGAGGCATCGGAGGCGGACACGGCCCGGATAGACACGGCCTGCCGAGGCATCGGAGGCGGACACGGCCAGGATAGACACGGCCTGTCGAGGCATCGGAGGCGGACACGGCCGGGATAGACACGGCCTGCCGAGGCATCGGAGGCGGACACGGCCGGGATAGACACGGCCTGCCGAGGCATCGGAGGCGGACACGGCCGGGATAGACACGGCCTGTCGAGGCATCGGAGGCGGACACGGCCGGGATAGACACGGCCTGTCGAGGCATCGGAGGCGGATACAGCCGAGATAGACACGGCCTGCCGAGGCATCGGAGGCGGACACGGCCGGGATAGACACGGCCTGTCGAGGCACCGGAGGCGGACACGGCCGGGATAGACACGGCCTGTCGAGGCATCGGAGGCGGACACGGCCGGGATAGATACGGCCTGCCGAGGCATCGGAGGCGGACACGGCCGGGATAGACACGGCCTGTACTGGCATTGGAGGCGGATACGGTCGCGATAGACACGGAGCACAGCGTGGGCGGAGACGGTCACAGAGGAGTTGGCCAGGTAATGCCCGGTCCGCAGAGGTCAGACAGGCAGAGATAGATTTGGCACAGAGAAGTCGCAGATAGGTCACCGAGGACGGCGGGTACAGGGGGTCACGGACGGGCCGCAACATGTCAAAGAATAATTCATGAGTCACACACCCAGCGCTTTTGTGTTTTACTTTCCCAACGGTTCGTTGGTTCCGAGCGGAATCTTACAAAGCATTCCCAGTTTCTGAAAGGAGTCCAGTTACTTTCCAGTGCTTGTCATCTTCCTATCTCATTAAAAAAACCCAGACTTGCACACCCAGGTAAATATAAACCAGCATAACAACAAGCTATAAAATGCCGCATTAGGTGGAACAAATACAAACACAATTTCCAGAGTGGCCAAGCCACCTTACAGAATGTCAGGACGGCTCGACAAAGCCACCTAAGTCCTCCTGTCTCAGCCGTGGAGATGCAACAAGCCAACATCACCGCTGAAACCACGACGGCGAACACGTCCTCGTCGAATATCGACGCAGCCCAAGGGAGCCACTGCGCCGCGCCGGTGTCCCTCGCGTGCCCCAGAGATTTCAATTAAAGTTCTGTGCCTGGCGAGGCTCGCAGAAGTTTGGTGGGCTGATGCGAGGCGCCGGTGTAAAGACAAGTCGCTCCATCCAGCGCCCAGTAGCCAGCAGATTCTACGTTTGAATGTTAGCCGACGGCGAGCCTCTGATTGCCGCAGGCGAGTTGAACACCTTATCCGAGCGATTCGTTCTGACTGATAATCAGAGCGACCGCAACAGTTCAGGCCCCGGGGCGTGCTAGCACAAACGGCACTCGGTTCAAAGGGCCCGGTGCAGCATATTATGAATGTTATCGACCGACGGTACGGCGCACAACGCGATCCAACTCGACCCATTCGGCTCAGGTTCCACAGCGCTCTAGACGGCTTGAAATGAGCAGACAAGGGAACCTCGGGACATATCTAATGGATGGTAATCGGGAAAGAACGTAATGGAAAGCAAATGGCAGCCCATGCACTGCATATCCCAATAAAGGCATGAGTGCCTGGCTTCGTGCCTGTCCTGGGCATGTTGCCGTATTTATGGTCGGGGATTCGTCGCACCTCGGTTTCACTTCCAAACTATTCCACGGCGATCGGGCTGGCGCCGAGCGGAACGGCGGGGCATCGACCGGCGCTGGGACGGCTGATGGGCCGGGCGGCACCAGTCCATATTGCGGCGTCGCCCATCCCCCACCGTGGTGACCACGGCAGCGTCCTAGCACCACGCATGGCGACGAAGGTCAGGGCACAACAGGCCGGGTTCGGAGCTGCGCCGCCGCCGCCGCCACCGCCGGGTCCGGCCGCGTCCCATCGCCTGATGGACCGCCGCCGTCTCGGGGCGGGGGGAGCTCCGGGTCACGCCCAGGTCCGGTCCGTTCAGTCGCCGCCCAAACCACACGGCGCGACGGCAGCAGCCGGACGGCAGACGGTCAGACGGCAGCAGCCGGGCGGCGGACGGTCAGACAGCAGCAGCCGAACGGCGGACGATCAGACGGCAGCAGCCGGGTGGCGGATGGACAGACGGCAGCAGCCGGACGGCGGACGGTCAGACGGCAGCAGCCGGGTGGCGGATGGACAGACGGCAGCAGCCGGACGGCGGACGGTCAGACGGCAGCAGCCGGGTAGCGGATGGGCAGACGGCAGCAGCCGGACGGCAGACGGTCAGACGGCAGCAGCCGGGCGGCGGATGGACAGACGGCAGCGGCCGGACGGCAGACGGTCAGACGGCAGCAGCCGAACGGCGGATGGTCAGACGGCAGCAGCCAAGCGACGGACACAAACTGGCAAGAAGTCAGTGACGCGACAGCTGTTACTTCTACCGCTGCGTTTGCACCGCCTGATGTTTCCCGCACTGAAGATAGCCTACTCTTTATGCCGGCCACCAGACGAAACCGGGGAAAATGCGGACGCTTCTGCCCTCGGCAGTGGCCTTCCTGCCCTCTGCCGTCTGCCGAGCATCCGACGCCCCGGGAGCCTCGTGCCGTGGCATGAGTGAGCCGGCGCAGCCCGGCGCGGCGGCCCGCCCTGCCGGCGCCGGTGACCGGCCTGATGCCGTCTACATACAGCCACATGCTGGCCGCCGCGACGTGAAATACGACGGAACCTAGGACAATCACGGGCGAAATCAGACTCGAACGGTCCCGGAATCACTTTACACACTTGCAGCGCATCACAAGCCTCCCACGCAGCTCTCACAGAGAGGATGAATGCAAAAGGGTCGCAATGCTCCCATTCATTTGGCTCCGCGAAAAGCCACTGTTAACATACAAAGTGAACATTATGTATGACAAGTCTCAACACTCACCAGGATGTGATACAACGACCCCACAGCCAACAGCGCATCTGTTGACACACTGTAGCAGGCATGCGACACCTCATACGACAATACCACAACACCAGCAGAGCAACGGAGCCGTTCACTCATATAGCAAGTCACTTACACAATCTTCTCTACAGCACAGGCATCAGCATCATCGTTGGTCGCAGACCAGCTTCCCACCACCAAAGACCATTTCATGGTAACTGGTCGCTTCGCTCAGTAAGTTTCCGTCGCCGTCTGTATCGGGGGAGGGAGCCCGGCCGACCGACTAACGACGGAAAGTCAGACCTTTACACCGACGCGTTCGGCTTGAAAAGGGCAGCTTAAGTTAGCTGGGGGTAGGTGATTGGATTTCAGCAGTAGTTTCTTCGCCGATTACTCTGGCCAGTGGTCTCCTCGTTCTATTGTTTTGTTTTTATCTACATTATCGTGTCCCAGATCAGAGCACGTGGCGATGATAATTACGATCCTTATTTTGATGTGAGTTTGTCACCTTGAGCTGGTAGAGCGTGATGCCAGTGCTGGTGAGGTCGTCGTCGATGCCGATCAAGTGAGGTCGATCCGAGTCGAGCACGACTCCCACTGAAACACCGCGCCAGCATCAGCCCTCGGCTGGCTAGGGTCGGGTCACACCAGGCACACTCAAGTCACTTCAGGTCGTATCAAGTCAGGTCGGGCCAGACCAAGCCAAGTGCGCTCGCATGGGATCGGGTCGAGTCGGGTCGGGTCGACCCCGTCACTGGAACTGGAACCGTCGCCCGCCCCCCCCCCCCCCCCTCCCTCCCCCATACAGTGCGCGCAAAGCCCCGGACCGGGAGGATTTGGCAACGGAGAGCTGGCCAGCTTCGGGGCATTACCGCGTGAAAGACGGCGCCGCATTAACATCGGCGCCGAGCACCATGAGCGCCATTCGTCTTCGGCGCAGATCGGGCCGGGCCTGGCCGGGTACCGGCCGTGATGGCCACCCTGGCGGCGGCCGGGGCGGCCGGGGCGGCCGGGCCTGGCCGAGTACCGGCCGTGATGGCCACCCTGGCGGCGGCCGGGGCGGCCGGGGCGGAGGGACCGCTCGCCGGCCGATACGCCGGGGAGGGACGGACGGGGAGCCTCACCGCCCGATTTCCGCAGGCCCAGCGTCTTCTGCTCCTGCAATATCTTCTGCGTCTCGCCCCAGGCCGCCATCCACTGGTTGGTCATCTCGTCAGCGCGCGCCTCCTTCTCCTGGATCAGCTCCAGGGCGCGCGGCGACTGCCGGAGAGCGGCGGACCGCAGTCAGCTGCCGGCTACCGTACCAAGCACAGGGAGCAGGGAGGCACGGCACCAGGTCAGGCGCCGGCCGCAGGACACACTGTCTAGAGCTGACAACTGCCGGGGAGCGGCGCGGACCGCAGTCAGCTGCCGGCTACCGTACCAAGCACAGGGAGCGGGGAGGCACGGCACCAGGTCAGGCGCCGGCCGCAGGACACACTGTCTAGAGCTGACAACTGCCGGGGAGCGGCGCGGACCGCAGTCAGCTGCCGGCTACCGTACCAAGCACAGGGAGCAGGGAGACACGGCACCAGGTCAGGCGCCGGCTGCAGGGCACACTGTCTGGGGCCGACGACTGCCGGGGAGCGGCGCGGACCACAGTCAGCTGCCGGCTACCGTACCAAGCACAGGGAGCGGGGAGGCACGGCACCAGGTCAGGCGTCGGCTGCAGGACACACTGTCTAGAGCTGACGACTGCCGGGGAGCGGCGCGGACCGCAGTCAGCTGCCGGCTACCGTACCAAGCACAGGGAGCAGGGAGGCACGGCACCAGGTCAGGCGTCGGCTGCAGGACACGCTGTCTGGGGCTGACGCGGAGCTAGGTCAGCAGGGGCCCTGCGAATGGCATACCACAGGCACAGGCAGCAACCGACAGCAGCAGGCAATGGCTGACATGTTTATCATCGTGTTACAGTGTACAGCCCATGGTCTGTCTCTATGTCCCACGCTGTTATAAAAACGTAATGTTAAATGGATGCTTCCTTGTCATACGTTATTGCATGGATAGCCTAATCGTTTACAGTTCGATGGCTGCACAATGCAATGACTGCGAGAAAGCAGTCATAGGATAGCTTTTATCCAATTGTCCCCACCTGAACTCTATTAGTAGTCCGATATTGTGGATTTGCCTTTCAGCATATACATTACTCCATCTAATATTCCCGATGGCTTAAGATGGAGGAATGCTACTTTCAAGCAAGTAAAGTTAAAGTTGAATATATAAGGTCCTTGCAGTGCGCAGATATTATTTATATTTATATCATTCCTCGCCGTGGTATTTGATAACTTTTGATCTCGCACCCTTGCAGAAAATGCAAAGACCTTTCTAGGAGCGATATTCACTTATACATATATACCGTGCATAATTCTTCCACATCATCCTTTTTCGTAATCACAGAAGAAATCAATGGTAAAATTTCCGAACTTATCTTATACAAAAGGGCTGAGTCGAGAGTTGGGCTTCCTTCGGCTAAAAAACTATTTAGATGCCTCTCTTCGTGGAAAAGCAAAACCTGTCCGATACCCAGCGGATGTATTGCCTCCCTCCCTCCCTCCTTCCCCTTCCCTCCTTCCCTCCTTCCCTTCTTCCCTCTTTCCCTCCTTCCCTCCTTCCCTCCCTCCCTCCCTCTCCACAAGCACTAAGGCAGATACCCACAGTTTTTATTTGCCTACATAACTCTTGAACAGTACGACTGGGGGCAGGCTTACAGACTTAAATATCTTACCTTATCTTTGAGTATTCGTTGAACATCTAATAAGAACGTGGCCTGGTATTAAATACCTGGCCCATGGCAAGCTGATTACGTTCGATTGATCACTACCTACGCCGTAATGATCACTGTATCTACAAAAGGCCTGCGCCCATCTGAGTAACTGCTACAACCGAGCCCTGATCTTCACATGGTAACCAGCGGGCGTCACACAGACCCGACGGGGCTCCTTCCGAGCTCATGAAGCAGTCGGTGCGCACACGGCGGTATGTGCCCGCAGTGCCATCTGTAGGGCGTCGGTCGATCCTGAAGTTCCATGATAGCGCCGCGCCACATCGCACCCCTGCCTATCGCACCGGCGAAGTCCAGGGGGTGAACTTCGCCCCTGTCAGCCGGCGATGGATGCCGCGCACTCGAAGCGGTGCCACGCCAGGATTGACTTGGTACGAAAGCACGCCGGACTTCGCATGTACTGGCCGCAATTCAACCCATCCACTATAAGCTCTGATGTTATTGTTGGGACGCCTCTTTAAATTAATCCCGCGACAACGAGTCCTCCCCCCTCCCCCTCTCCCCACCTTTAATGAAATAAACAAAACTTACTAGACACAGAGGTACCTTAAGCACCAAGTGTTCTTTAGTGGGCGCAGAACAAAGCTACCAGAGCCACCACAAAAACATGAAGTGAATTTCACTACAGTTGATCATTAAGACTTGCGATCTTGACTTCTAAGGATATTCGAAATTACCAACGGTAAATACTTACAAAGATCAACACCCATATCAAGTAAACGCCACCTTTTTGTGATCCACTGGCGGCTAACTGCGGCCAATGGCGTACAACGCGTCGAACACAGTGCACCTGCGATGTGCTTGCATCACATACCTTTGAGACGACGCCGACATCCCGGGGATGATATGGTAACGAGCCTTTTACAGCTTGGAACTCATGGGCTTAAAATTACATCACAGTCAGGCCAACATTCCTGAAGGCATCAACAGAGGTACCTGCTCACAGCCATGGCAAGGGTCAGGACATGGGCCTCACACACCCGGCTTATCGTCGGTGGTGTGGGTATCCCTGGCACAAAAGGCGGCGGTTCAAAATCTGCTAGCATTTCCTTAAAAGGTAACGAATTGCAAATAGCCTAATCTGGTGGTATTAACATCATGTGTAGCCATTATGCAAGCTCAACTATCCATGCACATACACAGTGTGGTGGCAGATATGCCGACCAGTTCATCGCACTTCATCTCACAACCAAATGGTTCTAACTACCATCCCGTCCTCTTACAACCGGACCCGCTCCCATCCCCGCCACGGCCTCCGCCTCCGCCTCCCCACGACCCCACCAGCCTCGGTCGGACCTGCGCAGGCGTGTCCTCACCTCGCCAGCGCCCTCGATAAGCGCGCGCAGCCGAGCGATCTCCTCCCTCAGCGCGCGGATCAGCTGCACGCTCTTGTCCTCGTTGACGGTCGGCTTATTGACGATCGACTTGGCGCGGTGTGCGTAGCGCAGCGTGCTCAGCGTCTCGCCGTAGTTGACGTCCGCCGGCGAGATGGCTGCCGCCGGGGGGAGGGGCACCCAGTCAGCCGCCCGGCCGTGGCGCACGCGCCGGGGCGCCGCTGCCGCGACGCTGAGGCAGCTGCTCAGCTCGTCCTCGGTACGCCTCTACATCTCGCGCGCACCCATTGAAATTTAATTTCTTTACCAGATGTCTCTTTAATGTAACGGAACGTTGCGAAATAACCCACGGGACCGACCCTAGGGCGCAGGGTGCCAGGCAGACTGAAACCTGGCATCATTTGTATTGTGTCTCTAGCATTCTCCACGCACATCACTGTACGTCTATCCACACGGCCCGAAAGCGATGCGGATAACCGGTGAAATCGTTCTGGGAGCGAGCCACTGCTCACGACCGAATGCGGCGGCGACCATACCCGGGCCGCCCAGCAGCCCAGCACGCGAGACCGTCCAGAGCATGCGATCGCGGCCCCTCCTGTTTGCGGTCATACCGGCACGGCTACATGCCAGATGCAGCAGCCCGCACCGCGTGCTGGGCTGACAGGGCCTCCGCCCACTGTCTCTCTCTCCCCCGGATCCCAAACACGGCCACATGCCAGATGCTGCAGCCCGCACCGTGTGCTGGGTCGACCAGACCTCAGCCCACTCCTCCCCCCGACCCCACCCACAGCGTCCGCACACCTGCAATCATCACCGTCTTGGCGTTGCCCCCCAGGCTGTCCTTGAGCAGCCAGGTAAGCGTCGAGTCGCGGTAGGGCACGAACGGATGCGGTCGGCCGGGCCGCACGCCCGCCTCCGCTAGCGCCGATATCACAGAGCCCAGCGTCACCAGCGACTTGTTAATGTGCGCGCCCTCGCGCAGCCGGGAGCCCGTGGCGCCCGTCGCCTTGGCGCGCTCACTGCCGGTGGTGACAGCACGGTCAGAGGTACACGAGCAGCAGTGTCGGCACGGTCAGAAGTACACGAGCAGCAAGTCGGCACGGTCAGAGGCACACGAGCAACCAAGTCGGCCACGGTCAGAGGCACACGAGCAGCCAAGTCGGCACGGTCAGAGGTATACGAGCAGCCAAGTCGGCACGGTCCAGAGGCACACGAGCAGCCAAAGTCGGCACGGTCAGAGCTACACGGTAGCCAAGTCGGCACGGTCAGAGGTACACGAGCAGCAAGCCGGCACGGTCAGAGGTAACACGAGCAGCAGGTCGGCACGTCAGAGGTACACAAGCAGCCAAGTCGGCACGGTTAGAGGCACACGAGCAGCCAAGTCGGCACGTCAGAGCTACACGAGTAGCCAAGTCGGCACGGTCAGAGGTAAAGAAGCAGCCACGGCGAGGTACACGAGCAGCGGGGGGGGGTCCAGGGGGGGGGGGGGGGGGTCAGAGGGGGGGCGGAGTCGGCACGTCAGAGGTATAAGAACAGCAAGGGCACGGTCAGAGGTACACGAGCAGCAAGTCTGCACGGTCAGAGGTCACAAGCAGCCACGTCGGCACAGTCAGAGGTACATAAGCAGCCGCGTCGGCACGGTCAGAGGTACACGAGCAGCCAAGTCGGCACGGTCAGAGGTACACAAGCAGCAGTGTCGGCACGGTCAGAGGCACACGGGCAGCAGTGTCGGCACGGTCAGAGGTACACGAGCAGCCGCGTCGGCACGGTCAGAGGTACGCGAGCAGCCAATTCGGCACGGTCAGAGGTACACAAGCAGCCGCGTCGGCACGGTCAGAGGTACACAAGTAGCAGTGTCGGCACGGACAGAGGCACACGGGCAGCAGTGTCGGCACGGTCAGAAGGTACACGAGCAGCCGCGTCGGCACGGTCAGAGGTACGCGAGCAGCCAATTCGGCACGGTCAGAGGTACACAAGCAGCCGCGTCGGCACGGTCAGAGGCACACAAGCAGCAGTGTCGGCACGGTCAGAGGCACACGGGCAGCAGTGTCGGCACGGTCAGACGTACACGAGCAGAAGTGCCAGTACGGTCATGGCAAGTAGGTGACATAGTCAGGGGGCTCGCCCGACAGGATGGATACCGGGCTCCAGGGAGAGGGCGGGAGGGGGGGGGGGGGGCGAACATCTCCAACAAAGAGCACGAGGTTAATGTGATCAGCCATGCCACATTTGTCATATTTGAGACATGTCATCATTTGTAGGTCATGGTGTAACTCTTTGCATGTCGTTGATTTCAGCGGACCAAGATCCCAGTGACCGATATATTGTGACACCATCGATCGCGGCATGACACAGCGTATTCGCGCCAATCGATCGGCGGAATCGGCTTATTTATTCGGCAATGTGCTTACACGTCTGGAGGTGACATGTACTTCAAGCACTTCGCGCGGGGGCTTCCCAGTCAGGACTCGGTTGGTAGCGATGAACAGCTGGTGCCGAACACATACAAGAAAGAGTAAAGCGGGGATAAAAACAAAACGGGAAAATTGTGCATGTGACAGCCGGGTTTTTTTGTCGGTTACTTGGATCAGTCTCAACATGACAGCGCAAGTCCAAACAAAACGGCACGCCTTGCAGCTGTCTATTAGTGAACGAATACAACCAGAGATAGAACAGCGGTCTATAAAAAGGAAACGGCCAGTATGCCAGCTGTTTTGGGCCACTTATCTCGATAAGTCGCACCACGATGAGACAATGTTCAAACAAAGTAGCGTGGTTACCAACCGCATATCAGCGAGCAAAAACCACGACAACTGAATACAAGGCCACCAAAATGTGCGGCGCGGACCCCACCACACGTTGTTAGTGGACCCGGTCCTGACCCATCCCAGGAGCACACGGGGCTCCACCGTCCACACTTTCGGACCCTGCCACCAGGCCCACCTGCCAGCAAGGTCGACCAGGTGAATCTTGGACGTCTTCTCGCTTGGCAGGCCCTCGACCAGGGCAGCCTGCGTGAATGTGATTGTGAAGATGGCATGACTCCGCGAGCTGGTGTCGTTCATGCCCGTGCTCGCCGTGGTCCGGTGCGTATTGCCCCGCTCCATCAGCTCCTGCCGGCCGGGCAACCGGTGTCAAATCAGGTCAGCTCAGGTCAGGTCAACTCAGGTCAGGTCGAGCCAGCTCGCGCCATTCGCATCTGATCTGGTTGTGGTGCCGTAAGTGCCGCCCTCCGTCATCAGTTCGCTTGCCCCGCCAGGACTGTCCGGTCGGGTCAGGTTACATCAAACAGATCACGTCAGACGAGGTCAGCTCACGACAGTCGTGCCCGCACCACCCAGGTCAACCGACCTCATCCGCTCCTACGGGCCGGCAGACTCTGCGCCTGAAGCACACAGCGGGGTCGTGGGGACATGGCTGACAGTGGCTGCACATGAGGAGCAGTCAGGACAGGAGCCGGCAACACAAATACACCCCGCCGACAAGCAACAGAGCGCGGCGCTGGCGGCTGCAGCGCGCCGCCGGACGCAGCCACGTCCGGCCAGACTGCGACCGGCAGGGTGGTCCAACCCATCCCATCCCGTCCCATCCCAGGCCCCTCCCTGTGCATCTGCGGGCAGCCCAAACGAGCCCAACCGTCCCAGTCGTCATTGGGACAAAACGACGCACTCAGCTGCTGAGGCTACATGGCACCGCCCGTCTCTCACCCTGGTAAAAAGGGCGGGCACCGCGGAGAATCGAACCCTGTACCTCTGGTTTTCCAGACGTGCGGCGGTTAACGCAGACGCGTTAACCAAAACATTATTGGCACCCTTTATATCGGCACCCGCCCCAGCCATGGTGCTGGAAGCTGTGGGGTACCTTGCACTCTACAGGGCAGCTCAGAACAGTCCCGAGTCATGCGCCGACAACGTAGCAGCCAGCGGGGCCGCCAGCCGTGGTAGCCTAGACAGCAGGCAGAGCACACTGAGCGCGTCAGCATGTAGCGCTCGGTCGCTACCTTGTCGCCGCACCCATGCAGTCTCAGGGGCAGGTAACCGCGCCATGACAGGGCGCGACTGCAGGGGGTCATGCGGATGAAGTGCCACTTAATCGCCGGCGCAGGACGAGGATCGGCGCCCGCTTACCGATATGTCGACGTAAGAGGAGACCAGATGTCGGGAGAGCTCCTCTACATACGGCCCCGTCTGCGGGTGCTCGCGCACGCGCAGCGAGTGGCTCTGCTGGTCCTGCAGCAGGTCCTTCACCTGCGCACCGCAGTCAGCGCAATCAGACGGACAACAAGGCGCCGCTCAGTCACGTCCGTACCGCGCAGAACGGAGCGCCGTTCGCTGCCACGCGCGACGGCTCTGCCCGCCCACCCGACGACACTGCACCGGCCCGCAGAGAACGGTAAACGTCGGCACCTGTCGGCTCCAGCCAGGGCGATGCCTGGCGGCACGGCTCCGCAACATCACCCGCGCCACCCCTCCCAGGTAGCGCGCCACCATTGTCACAAGCAGCGGCAGTGGCCCGCAGACCCGACCGCCTCGGACGATCGGCGTATTTCGCCGCCGCCGCCGCCCTGTCGGCGTCGCAGCAGTCGCGGCGCCAGGCGGGTCACGCACCTGTTCGTTGTAGATCTCCAAGTAGCTGACCTCGGTGCGATAGCGGACGTCACACGAGCTCTCCATCTTGTCGAAGAGCCGGTAGCAGATACGCGGGATCAGGCCCCGCTCCACCTGCAGCACGGCCCCCGTCAGCGCTCAAGGCACCCAGCCGGCTACACAACCGAGCGCAGCAACGGGCCAGCTGTGCGGCTCAAAACTGCCCTCGCCGCATGGTGCGACCAGGCCCCTTTGCACAGCACAACACGTCCCGGCTGCACAGCACAACACGTCCCGACTCCACAGCACAACACGTCCCGACTCCGCAGCACAACACGTCCCGATTACACAGTACAACACGTCCCGACTGCACAGCACAACAGTGCCGACTGCACAGCACAACACGTCCCGCTTACACAACACAACACGTCCCGACTGCACAGTACAATACGTCCCGACTGCACAGTACAACATGTCCCGACTGCATAGCACAACACGTCCCGCTTACACAACACAACACGTCCCGACTGCACAGTACAACACGTCTCGACTGCACAGCACAACACGTCCCGATTACACAGCACATGTCCCGACTGCACAGCACAACACGTCCCGATTACACGGCACAACACGTCCCGACTGCACGGTACAACGCGTCCCGACTGTCCGGCATTTCACTGTTCCGGCTATACAGCGGCATGCCGGCCTGCCTGCGTGGTTACGGGACGGCAATTCTCGACCGAGCCAAAAACTAGTTGTAAGCCACTGAACGACGGCGACAGTCGTACGCTTACAAAAAGGTGAGAGGCGTATTCGCAGCGCACCAAAAACGTGTCACGTTACGTGGTTCCGTGTAGACTCTATGCTGGACATGTTCGCAGCGCAGCAGGATGCAGCAGCGCAACTTAGCGTTTTCGTAATTTTCGTGACTGCGCAAGCAAGATCTTAGCATTTGCGTCCGTGCGAGTGCGCCACCGATGGAAACTGTGAATTCTGATGTTTGTAATGAGTCGCACTTTTTCTTCTTCACCCGCCATCGGTTGTGGGCGCACACGCTACTCTGTTCATATGTGAACCTGCTGCGTTATTTCTGTCTCGCTTCGATTAAAGGGAGTGTTTCACATTTGTATGAGGTTTGGAACTGAGATAGCCATTTGGAAGATCGTGCGTTGCAATTTGCAGTCCTGTCCTTACGATCTAAACCCCTCCAGTTTCTGAACTACACGCACGCGAGGATGTGCGGGCTATTTCGAGGGAACTATTTAAAGCTTACCCATGCACTCATGATGCCATAATAGTCATTCAAATCCTGTCATTTCCAATTGTCACGCGGCCATGAAGGCCAATACAAATATAATTGTTGAGTTGTTCACAGCTGCCGTTCGTCAGCGCGATATCCAGATGTAACGGTCGTCCACTGGCTCTAAATCAAGTTGTGCAAGGCACGATGACGTTGTCAAACAATGATGCATTGAGGAGCGTGGTTACTTAACAGTGTTATCGTCATGCCTTGAGTAGCCTTTTCCACTTGAAAATATGCCACCAGCTAAAAGTTAGCTTATTTCATCCCATCTGATGCTTGCATCAG